CCTGCAACCAGGTCTAAGGACCCTGCAGCCCCCTTAGCACCTCAGGAAGCCTCTGCCGGTGGCCAGGTCGCAGAACCTTCGGGTGAGGAGTGTGCAAGTCCCCCCATTCCCTCCCTGCCCCTGCACCCCCTTTCCTCCTCACTGATTGCCCTCTTCCCATGGCAGCCCCCTGCCAGGCCTTGGTCAGCGTTGGGGACCTCCAGGCCACCCTCCATGAGATGCGGGGCACCCTCAGCTCAGACAGGTGACAGGCAGCTTCCCCCAGGGGTCCTCCCCCTGCTCCCTACCCTTCACAGGGGACCCCCTCAGGGATGGCTGGCCCCACGGGGTTGGGGTCGGGAGTGAGCCTCCTGGGGCCCACTTTGCCACCTGGTGACAGTTGGCTTCTATAGCACTGACCACCCCTCCTCCAGTGCGATCAGAGACCCCTCTACCTCTGTCCCTGCTGCCATGGCCCATAAACCCCCTGAGACCACCGAGGAGAATCTGGTGCCCTCAGGGCCGCCCCAAAGCCAGAGGTGAGTGGCAAATGAGTGGCAGGCAGGTGGGTGGCATGGGCGGTGACCCCCATTGACCCCAGCATCCCTTTCTCGGCAGTGCCCAGGCCCAACAGTCACCTCCGATACCCAATGGCTCCGCCCCTGGTGGGCACGCGGCCCCGGGCACCCAGTGAGTTGCGTCAATGTGCTGCACAGCAGGGCCCCACTGACCACCTGGGGGTCGGCTGCACAGGGCAGCTGTGCGCACACTGCCAGCTCCCTTTGTTCCTGTTCCAGGTGACCATCTGGTCTTTGGTGGCAGCGCCCTCTGCAGTCCGTGCCCTCTGGACTCTGCCAGGAGTGGGGGCAGGGCCGGGCCCTGCGCCCCACCCCCCACCTGCACCTCATTTTGACCCAGGCTTCCCGGGGCTGGTGCCCATGGAGCCTACCTGCCCCGTTTGCACTGAGATGGAGGGCTCCGGCTCTGGAATAAAGATGGGGAGAGTTGACTGGTGGGCGGAGCGGCCTCTGTCATATGGGCATGGGGCCTCTCGAGGAGAGTGATGTCCGTGCCCACAGGGGCGGGCAGGCTGCCAAGCACAACCCCGCCGCCACACGCAGACAGGCCCCCACTCCTACCACCTTCCATCTGAGCTCAGGGCCTCCTGGGGAAAGGGGCAGGGGAGCTGGGTCTTGTCTTAGCAGTTGCCCCCACCAGCCCTGCACTGTCACTGTATCTGGGAACACAAGGTCCCTGCTGGAGACAGGACTACAGTCTCATCCCTGGGACATGGGGCCTGGATCTCTCCGCCCCTTCCCCCCACAACGATGCCCTGCTCTCGGCTGAGGGGTCTGGCTGCCTCCCTGAGTGTTGGGCTCCAGCCCCAGCTGCCAAGTGACCTTGTCCCGCACCCCATTCCCGATCGAGCGAGCTGCGTGCGTGCTGCATTTCTGTGGCTCTGTCACACAGCGAGTACAATAAAGGCAACGTCGACCACCGTTGGTGCTGCGGCTGCATGCAGTGCGCCAGGGCCGGCGCCGCTTTCCCTGCTAGGGCGTCCGCTCGGGGATTGGGGCGCAGGGGCGAGGGGGGGGACTTCTGCCCTGTTTTCTGTGCAGAAATGGTGGCCTCCATGCCCTGGAGGCCCTGAGGCAGGGAGGTGGGGGACCCTCAAGGACAGCTAGGACATCCTCGGGGCTGGGAGCACAGCCCCGGCCCCAAGGCGACAGTCAGACTGTACCACACTCTGGGACACACTGGCAGGCCTCAAGGCCGAATGAGTGGGTGCACGTGTGGTCTGCTCCTTGCACCCGAAGGTGCATATAGCCCAAGGCAACAGCGGATAAGCCCCATTACCTGGGCTGGGGGGGGGGAGACTGTCTTCAGGAGCCGCCCCGTACCCCCACCCCGCAAGGCTGCCATGCTCATGAGAATGGCTTCAGCAGGCTGACTAGTGCCTGCCTCTCCTCACTTTCCATAAGTGGGGCCTCATGGCTGCGAGCGAGTAGAAACAGGTGTTTCAGGACAGTGAGTGGGGGTTCATTTCTGCCCAGTAGCGCCCCATTCTCTTCCTCCTCTAGGTTGGGAACTGGACAGTGCAGTTTCACCCCGCAGGCCCACAGTAGAGAAAAGCCAGTCAGGGCCAGGGTGTGGGTGGAGGACAAACCCCAGGTCTCAGTAGACACCTTATCAGTCAGTAGCAGGTGGGGCCATCCCTGGGCGGGGATGACATCCCCCAGGGCCCTGTTATCAGCCCAGAGTCCACAGGACAATCCCGAGTTAAAATATAACCAGATATTCTCCCCTTCACCACTACCATCCCCAAAGACACCAGTACCCGGGCAGAGGGACTTGGTGACGTGCCACCATGGACACCCAGGGAAAGAGAGCTGGCCATGTGAGACCCCAGGGTGGGGTGGGGGGTGAGCAGGGGCTGCAGGAGGGCCCATGATTAATGGATTAGTTGGCCAAGATCTCTCTGGCTCTCCCAGAGACAACAGGGCAGGGCAGGGGACCCCCATACCTGGATCCAAGTGGGCTGGGACAATGTCAAGTCCAATGGGTGGAGACCCCTGGGTGGCTGGAGTGGGCAGGAGCCTGCCACTGGAGGTCAGCAGCTTCCTCCTGTGTGTTGGTCCCACCCCACCCCTGAAGACAGCCAGCCTGGTCAAGTGCCTCACCCCCTTCCTCCTCACCTGTCCGGCCTACTTCCTCTTCTGGATCCCTGAGGACCCGCCGTCCCTGCTGGGGGCCCTGGTTAAATGCCTGCCGGTGCTGAGCCTGGCTGCTGGCCTACAGGCCCTAACACCGCCTGGGAGCACAGCCACCCTCCTGAAGTGGGGCCTGCTGTGCTCAGCCGTAGGCGACGCCTGCCTCATCTGGCCTGATGCCTTCCTGCATGGTGAGCAATATCGGGAAAACTGGGGGCCCGGGTGGCTGCTACCCAGAAGGTCAGCGCTCCGTGTCTGCCCCAGAGAAGCTGAGCATCCCAGAAAGTCCCTGGAGCCCCCCCTACCCTGTTCTCAGGTCTCAGTGGCAGCTTCTGCTTTGTTTCTTCTGGAAGAGACCTCGCCACACACTAAAGCTAGCCCCAAAGGCCGTCAGTGAGGACCCACGGCAAGCCAGAGAAAGATGAGGGGACCCCCTGTCAGCTGTCCCCTCGCTGTGAGCGGGAACCAGCTGGCCGGCAGTGGGCTGCAGAGGAGTGGACCTCTGCGGTTACAGATAGTCCGGGGGGGGGGTGGGGGGGCGCTGGGGGGATGCTGCACCTTTGCGTCTGGGGCAGCAGGGGTTGGGGGGCCTCATTCATGGCCTGCCTGGTTGGCTGCAGTGCTCATCAACCCTCATGTAGTACAGCAGAAGGGGAGACTCCCTGGCCCTGTGCCTAGGGTGGAGTCCTGGCCCATGCCCCTCCCTGGACGTTTCATGAGGTTTTTTCAAAAACAAGCAACAAAACCAAGCCTGCTTCCCTGGAGCCTGCTCAGGCCTGGCACACCCCTCAATGGGGCTCCTGGGGCTGTCAGAGTCCTGGTGGCATGCCGGTTACACTTGGGCAGCTGGCTGCAAGGCCAGTCACTCCCAGAGCAGAGGATGGGGCTTTCTACACTCAAAAGAGGTCCAGTCAGAAACCCACAGGGCCCCTCTGCCCTGTCCTAGGGGGCACTATGAGTCAGCATGGACTCGGAGGCAGTGAGTTGGGTGTTTGGTTGGAGGTGGTGGGTCTCTGGGAGCAAACTGCCTGCTCTTTCTCTTAAGGAGGTGGGTGGGTGTGAACTGCCGACGTTGAGGTTAAGCCACAGCCCTATTAGGACTCCTTTGATGATGGTAGCCATGGAAATCCCTGCCTCTGTGCGTGCGGTGCGTGTGCACACAGCTGTGCTGGGGGTGTTCTCACCTATCACCTGGGGCTCAGACTCAGAAGCAACTCCACAGAGCACACGGCCACCACCCAGCAACCCGGAGAGAAGGGCAGGTGTGCAGGGTTAGGCGTGGCCACCAGGTCAGAGGGCACCATCTGAAGGGGTAGGGAGAGGGACCAGCCCGGGACGGGCCTTCTAGGTGTAGCGTACAACAGGTGCCAAGGCGCTGAGGTGAGTGCGGGTCTGGGTGGGGCACCTATCCAAGGAGGAGACAGGAGATGGGGTTAAAAGACAGGGGTGGGTGCCATGTTGGGGCCAAGGGGCAGCAGGGGGCGGGTTCCAGCAGGGCAGGATTTGGTATGAAATTTAAAACACTAGCTCCCTGCCCCACTTACTGTGGTCAGCTTCCGTCGAGAAGGGTGAGGTGGGGAGACCAGAGTGGTTCTACTCGGACGTTTGAGGACCAGCTGCGGGGTGGTGGCGGTGGAGACACCATCCTGGGGCAGTGGTGGGTAGGGAAAATGGGCAGGACGGGCTCCCCCTCCCCTTACAGGCGCCCCATCCCCTCACAGGTATGGTCGCTTTTGCTGCTGCCCACCTGTTCTACCTGGTGGCCTTCGGCTTCTCCCCCCTGCGGCCAGGCCTGCTGCTGCCCATCGCCCTGGTCAGCGGCCTGTACCTCTGTTTCTTGCTGCTGCACTTGCCCCCGGACATGACCCTCCCGGTGGCCGCCTACAGCCTCATGTTGGCTGCGGTACTGTGGCGCGGTCTGGCCCGGGGAGGCAGCGCTGGCCTGGGGGCCCTGCTCTTCACCCTCTCGGACGCCGTGCTGGCCTGGGGCACCTTTGTCTGGCCGCTGCCTCACGCCCGCCTCATGATCATGACCACGTACTATGCCGCCCAGGCCCTCATCGCCCTGTCGGTCCTAGAGGGCCCGAAGCACAAAGCCAGCTGAGCCGGGCTGGTGCCCATGGTCCTACCGACCCCTCTCCCCAGACCCCTCCACTCCCTCTAACAGGAGGTCAACCCCTGCTGTGGGGGCACAGGCCCAGAACATCGCACACCACTGTAGAGGTCCCCCTGCTACACCCAGTCCCAGCTATCGGCCCCACCCCCACCCCACCCCTTCCTTGCCTCAGTAAAGTGGGCTGAGAAATGGCATCTCGGTGGTTTCGGGAGGGATGTGTGGGGGAAAGAACGGAACCAAAACCAACTCCCAAGGTGGATCTGCCCCTGCGGGCTTCCCAGACGGTAGCCACGGGAGTAGAGTGGGCGATGGCACAGATGGTCCCTGAGGCTGTGCAGCTGTATGGACTGCGGCTGCCACCCCTTTCTCCCTCAGCACTTCTGGCCGTGCTTCACCCACCTTGCCGCCACAAGGTGCCTATGAGTCTCAGCCCAACGTCAGGGGGCTTTGTGTGTCCCCCAGCCAGTGCCTGCGTCTACAGAAAATCTCAGGGGATTCCTGGGAGTTCAGAATCCCTGGGGGTGGACTCACAAGAAACCCATTCATTAGGGGAGGAAATTGGAGGGACACACTGCACCCCTCTCTAGGGCTCAGGTCTGCAGCCAAAGAGGGGTCAGCATTGCGCTCACCCACTCGGCCTCTGCAGACCCCCGGTGTGCCTTAGGGACTGTTGAGAGTGCCCCTGTGAGTCAGAGTCATCTCTGGGAGGGGACTGGGTTGGGCCGTGCCTGAGGCGATGGACGGGCATTGCCCGTTAGGTTACTGAGGAAGGGTAAGAGTGGCATAATCCCGCTGCCATCCAGTCAATTCTGAACTCGTAGAAGACCCTACGAGTCAGAGTAGAGCTGCCCCACGGTGCTGAACAGGAGTGGCGTAGTGAGTTCCCAAGGTTAGCAGTTCGATAGCACCAGCCACTCCAAGGGAGAAAGCCCAGGCTTTCTAGTTCTGGGAAGAGTTGGAACCCCCGGGGCAGTTCTACCCTGCCTGGGGAGTTGCTGTGAGTCGGAGTAGACTCGATGCAAGGGGTTTTGAAAGTTTATTGGGTTTCTGAGATTGTTAATCTGTACAGAGCAGACGGCCTCGTCTTTCTTCCTCAGGGTGTCTGGGGGATTCAAACTGCTGACCTTATGAGTAGCAGTCGAACGCATAACCCGCCACACCCCAGGACTCCGGACCTGGATTGGAACCACAGTGAGCACATCCCAGGCCTTGGCTCTTAACCAGTCACTGAACCCCGACCTCCTGTAGCACTCTGGAACTTTGAAGTCTGGTTTGAATCCCAGCCTCTAAATCTCATGGCAGCTGCACCATGAACTGTCATCTCCACTTCATTCCAGGTCCTGACCCAGACTCTGACCCCAGCTGCGATTGCAGCACCGATGTTGTGTTTGAGCCCCATGGGAAACAGATACTGACCCCCCTCAGACACTCCTCTTGGACTTTGAGCCCCAAAGTACTGCCTCATCTCCTGAGTAGTTGGAACATCAGTGAGAGAACCTGCCCCACCCTGGTTTCCAGTCTCCTGCTTCTGCAGGGGGTGTGATCACCTTGGCTCCACAAAACTGGTGCTGCGCGTCTTCACAATTGTTATCTCTGAGCTCACTCTCATAGCCATTGTCTGAGTCTCATTGAAGGTCGTCGTTCTGTCAGGCCGGGTTGACTAGAGAAACAAACCCAGTGACGTGTGTAAGAAGAAAGATTTCTATATCCAGAAGTAATTCTGTATTGAGAAAACATCCCAGCTCAGTCCAACTCAAGTCCACAAGTCCCTCCTCAGACGCAGGAAGTCACGTGTAATGATGCAGGATGAACACAGGCCAGTGCGTGCACACAGGCCCTGTGGATCCCAGGTCGGTGGAAAATACGGCAGGGCTCCAGGGTGGCCAGCAACTAGGATGGTCAAGGGAGGTTCCCAGAGCCCTCCTCAAGGGAAGGCCATGCCCACAAGGAAGCATCACCAGACTGTGGCCTGACAGGTTGAATACCACCCTACACATTGATAAACCTTCAAGTTGACCTGAAGTTATGTACCTACCCCAGTCGTCCTGTTTTGCTGACTGCCCACTTTACCCAGCATGATGTCCTTTTCGAGGGACTGGTCCAATTGGATAACGCTCAAAGTAAGTGAGACGAAGCCGCACCACCCTGCGTCTGAGGGACATTCCGACTAGCCTCCTGAGACATTTGTTCTTCTGGCACTCCTGGTACTTTCGATTTTCTTCACCAACATCACCATTCAAATGACCCCGTTCTTCTCAGGTCTTCCTTATTTGTCCAGCTCCCACCTGCACACGAGGTGTTTGACAATACCAGGGCTTGGGTCAGGCCCACCATTTGTCCTCAAAAGGACATCTTTGCCTCTTTAACACTTGCTTTTTTTTTTTTTTTTACTATTTTGTGGGCTTGTACAACTCAACACAATCCATACATCTGTCCATGTGTCAAGCACATTTGTTGCCATCATCATTCTCAAAACATTTGCGTTCTACTTGAGCCATTGGTATCAGCTCCTCATTGTCCCCTCCCTCCCCACTCGCTGCTCACTCACGAACCCTTGATAATTTATAAATTATTTTGTCATATCTTACACTGTCCTGTCCGACATCTCCCTTCACCCACTTTTCTGTTGTTCATCCCCCAGGGAGGGGGTTATATGTAGATTCCTGTAATCGGTTCCCCCTTTCCACCCCACCCTCTCTCCACCATCCCGGTATCACCACTCTCACCACTGATCCTGAAGGAATCCTCCGTCTTGGATTCCCTGTGTTGCCAATTCCTATCTGTGTCTGTACATCCTTGTCGGATTTGTAAGGTAGAACAGGCATCATGATAGTGGGGGGCTGAGGTGAGGGGAGGAAGCATTTAGGAACTAGAGGAAAGTTATATGTTTCATCGTTGCTGTACTGCACCAACTGGCTCCTACCCGCCCTCCTTAATACACTCAAAGGTCTTGTGGCAGTTGAATAATCTGTCAACTTCAGTGAAGGGGTGGAGTCTAGCCTGTCAATCAGGCCTTAGCCAATGAGGCCTGTGTATGGGCCTGGCCTTCTCCTGAGGATTCTGGGAACTCCTGGAGGCAGGACATACTCTTTGATTCACATTCTGTTGACAAGCCGCATGGAGCCAAGCTGATGGCAGCCGGAGCCCTGGAGCTGGAGGAGCCATGTGGAGACCTGCCCCAGCATTGAGATGCTTCCACCACCACTAGATCCACAAGAATTTCTACCCACTAGCCTGTGATCTTCCTGCATTCGGTATCATTGCATATGCTGTGTGAGTCTAGAAAGGAATTTATGGACTAGTATGAGACAGGGGCTAATAATTGGAATTAAGGACTTGATCTCGACTGGGCTGGGATGTTTTCTCAATATACAATTACTCTTGGATTTAAAACTTTTGCACACATAAGTGTCAATGAGTTTGTTTCTCTAGTCAACCCGAAGTAACACAAGGTCTCATGCAGATTTGCCCAATGCCAGTGGTTCTCAACCTTCCTAATGCCATGACCCTTTGCAGGAGAAGCAACACCCGCTTCACACACACACACACACGGCAGTTCTGACTCAGCAACTCCATGGGCAGGAAAGGTGGCGGTCAGCTTTTGAAAAGATGTACGGCCTTGGAAACCAGGGGCAGTTCTGCTCCACCGGGTAGAGTGGCCATCCATTGGAATTGGCGGGTGGGTGTGGGTTTGTTAGGTGTCGGGTGGTTTATACCTCGCTCGGTTCTTGCTCCGCCGCGCTGAAAGGAGCCAGCAGCAGAAACACTTTTGCAAAGTCTCGGGTATCCACAGGAACTCCCAGGGGCCAAGAGCAGGACATATCGAAAGAGCGCTCCGAGAGGCCTGAGAGGGAGCTCTGGCTCCAGGGCCCAGGGCAGGGCACGCAGCCCTCTCACCTGCACAAACAGAAGAGTCGAAGAGGCGTGGCCTTCCTGTGGCAAGTTATCTCTTCCGCCTCTGGAGGCGGGGTTGAAGGTATTGGTCAACCTCATTGGCTGAGTTTAAGCGCACCTGGGTGATGTCATGCAGCTGGGCCCGGTCTGCACCCAGGTAGATCCCACCTGGGCCTGGGGGGGGGGGGGGGGCGCCTTATGTCTGAGCATGCTCAGTTTGGATCTTTCCATAGGTGTCTAATGAATTTGCCTGACTTCTTTCCAACCCCTTTGTTGTGGCCCTACACCAGCATTGGGGAGACCAACCACCCCCGCCCCTTAGTCCCTGTTCTGGCGACCATACAGGTTGGGTCAGGTTTGAGTTATCGACCAAACACTCCTGCCCTCCAGTTGGACCTGCCCAACTCTCGGTCTGTCCATCAGTTCCCCTAGCCAGAGCACAGTGTCCCATTCTCCTTGGAGCCCTTGCTGGCTTGTTGGCAGGTCTGTCCCCAGTGGCTGGAGGAGAAATGAGGGTGGGTGCGTCCCATAGTGCACTGCAGGTTAGACTCTCACTCGGGGTAGTCGTCCTGTTACCCGGATTTGCCAGGTAAGGAGCTGAGAGCTGGTGGCTTGTGGGGAATAAGTGAGGAGGAGGAGGACAGACAGAAGGTGTCCCAGTTATGCGGCTTGGATCTTTGCCTCTACCTTAGGTCTCTACTGCAGAACTGCCACAAGGGCGTGGTTTTCACAGACAGACACTTATTCTCTCCGATTCAGCGTCCAAAACCAGGGCACCAGCTCTAGAGGAAGATTGTATCTCTGTGTCAGCCCAAAGGCTTTGTCTCCTTTCAACATCCGTGGATCCAGTATCTCTTGGAAATCTGTCTCGTGGCATCTGCCTTTCCTTGGGTCTAGGAGGTTCTCAGCACAGTAGTCCTGGGTCCTAAGGGCACCCTTGGCTCCAGGGTCTTCTGTCTTGGTGGTAGGAGGTCCGTCTGATCTCAGCTCCCTCGTTTGATCTCTTTTATATCTCAAAAGAGATTGACCGATGACACAGCCCAACACTTTAGGTTGCACTCCGCCTCCTTCCCATAGCTGCCTCTGATCCTGCCTCATCCCCACCAAGGGATTGTAACGGATGCGTGTGTTTGCACGCGCACGAACAGTTGTGCATAAAACTATGATCTGCTGGGTAAACCTTCACCAAACACAATAGAAAAGTTAAAAAGAAGAAAAGTCAATCTTACTGTGTGGTCATTTTAACGAGAAACAAGGGGAGAAGAATGTTTGGGAGAAGTTGGACTTCAAGTCCGACGCCCCTCCCTGCTCTCATGTGTCTTCCCAGCCTTATCTCGGTTCACTTTGGCCCCATAGGGGTCTGTGGGTGTCATGGACGGTGGGTCAGGGAAGGCCTGAGGAAGTGAGACTCACACAGAGAAGACAAATAAGACCGAAAGGCTCCCAGGTCCCAGAGAGAGAAGTCACCCTTCTGTGGCACTAGCAAAGGAACCCTAAGGGTCACAGTGGTGGAAAGCTGGGTTGCTGTCCCAAAAGTCAACAGTTCAAGTCCACCGACTGCCCCACAGGAGAAATATGAGGCTGTCTGCTTTTATAAAGATTTGAGTCTCAGAAACCCTATGGGGGGAACTTCTAGTGTGTTCTAGAGGGTTATCATAGCCAGAATGGACTCGCAGGCAAATGGGTTTGGTTCAGGGTAGGGCATTAACAGCGGGAGAAGCTCCTATCACAGGGAATCACATGGGACATGGCTGGGAGGGACAAGGAGTTGTTGAGAGATTGGGTTACAAGATTGCAATGAGTTTTTATCACGGGGAAACCACATGGGACATGGCTAGGAGGGACAGTTATTTAGAGCCCACGGCCGCTGAGAGACCAGGGACAAGATGGGAACAGCCATGTCAGGATCAGGAGACAGGGCAGCTGATGGCAACATATGGTCAAATATGCTTGATACTAGTGATGGATGGATTGTTATAAGAGCTGTAAGAGCCCCCAATAAAGTGATCTTTTAATTTTAAAAAGCTTTTATATATATAAAAAATATATAATATATATATTTTATATATATAATATATATTATATATTCCTTCACACATAGATATGAAGGAAATGGAAAAATAGTACTCAACGTCTAGGATTTCCCCCAAACTTTTGAAGCTCCCATATATGCTTGGAACGGCCGGACAGGGGCTAAGGACAACCAGGGAAAAGAGGCCTTCGCATGATGCTGGTGGTGGAAACTATTGGTTATCTCATGGATTGCCAGAAGAAGGAACCAGCCTGACTCAGAAGAAGTCTAGCCACAATGCTCCTTAGAAGTGAAGGTGGACCAAAGCTCATCTGTAGGCAACTGGACATCCCCTTACAGAAGGGTCACGGGGAGGAGACGAGCCAGTCAGGGTGCAGTGTAGCACCGATGAAACATACAACTCTCCTCTGGTTCCTAAATGCTTCCTCCCCCAACTATCATGATCCCTATTCGACCTGACAAATCTGGCTAGACCAGAGGATGTACACTGGTACAGATAAGAACTGGAAACAGGGAATCCAGGACGGATGATCCCTTCAGGACCAGTGGTGAGAGTGGCGATACTGGGAGGGTAGAGGGAGGGTTGGGTAGAAAGGGGGAACCGATTACAAGGATCTACATATAACCTCCTCCCTGGGGGATGAACAACAGAAAAGTGGGCGAAGGGAGACATGGGACAGTATAAGATATGACGAAATAATAATTTATGAATTATCAAGGGTTCATGAGGGAGGGGGGAGCGAGGAGGGAGGGGGAAATGAGCTGATACCAAGGGCTCAAGTAAAAAGCAAATGCTTTGAGAATGACGAGGGCAATGAATGTACAAACGTGCTCGACACAATGGATGGATGCGTGGATCGTGATAAGAATTGCACGAGCCCCCAATAAAATGATTTAAAAAAAAAGAAGTGAGAGCAGAAAGGCTTTGGCTGAAGTGCCTTGGTCATTGGGAGGGTCAGTCCCTGGAGAAAGGTATCGTGCTTGGTAAAGCGCAGACTCAACACAAGCGAGGAAGCCCCTCAGTGCAGTGGCTTGGCACAATGGCTGCAGCAATGGACTCACCCAGCAATGACAGTCAGGATGGCATAGGACCAAGCAGTGTGTTAGTCTGAGTAGACCAGAGAAACAAATTCATAGACACTCACACGTGTATAAGAAAGAGCTTTATATAAAAAAGCAATTGCATATTGAGAAAACATCCCAGCCCAGTCCAGATCAAGTCCTAAGTCTGATATTAGCCCATATTCTGATACAAGTCCATACATTCCTCTTCAGACTCACGCAGTACATGCAATGACACCCAATGCATGAAGATCACAGGCCAGTAGGTGGAAAGTCTTGTGGATCCAGTGGTGGTAGAGCATCTCAGCGCTGGCAGGAGTCTCTATGTGGCTCCTCCAGCTCCAGAACTCTGGTTCCATCAGTGTAGTTCCACGTGGCTTGTCAGCAGGAAAATGAAGCAGAGAGCATGGATCTGGCCTCCAGTGAGCTATTTACCGCCTTAACACCTCCACATGAGGTCATCAAGCTGCGACCTGATTGACAGGCTAGACTCCACCCCTTTGCTCTTAATAGTCTCAAGTTGACACCAGATGATGTAACTCGCACACAGTGTTTCCTCCTGTCCTACATGGCATGGTTGGGAGTGGAGAAGGATTTGGTAGCACTGAGCGAGGAGCACCCGGACAGAGTCTCAATCAGCCACCAAGACTCACTGCTGCTGAACCCATTCCGACTCAGAGCGTCCAGTGAACAGAGTAGAAGTGGCCCTGAGAGTGTCCAAGACTGTCACTCATGATAAGGGGAGAAAGCCTCATCTTTCTCCCAAGGAGCAGCTGGGGATTCCATCTGCTGACCTTGAGGGTGAGCAGCCCACAGTGATCCCACTACCGCACTAGATAACCCCCGCCTGACTACTATCAACAATAAAATCCACTCCCAAATAGGATTATCACCACCCAAGTGCCAGCTCTCAGTGGAGAGGCTGGTTGCTGAGTTGAATTCTGACTCACAGTGACCTTTACAGGCACACTTGAAACCCAGCCTCCTGGCTGGGGATTCTGACTCATAGTGACCCTGCTGGACACAATAGACCTGCCCCCATAGGATTCCCATACACTTCCCCTCATAGATTCGGGAAAGCAGATGGGCCTTGTTTGAGCCCCCTGCCTCACGGGCCTTCTGGGGTCTGCATTGTGGACCAAACTCGCTGAAGGGAGGCAGAGTCTAATCTCTGCAACGTTGACTTCAGCTGCTGGGGGCAGGAGCTTTCCAGAGTTGAGGTGGTTTGAGGGCTGAGGGGTCTCGGTGGGCTTGAAGAGGAGACCCTGTGGGCAGCAGTGTCCCCCATGTCCACATGAGAAGCGGAGGTAAGGGAGGACGATGGCAGACTGGGCGGGGCCGAAGCTGTCAGCCCTGAAGCCTCCACTTCCTCCTCCTCCCCTTTCCTGCCCTGGCCTCTGGCCCCACCAATGGGCTGAACAAGGGGAATTTCAGGGGTTGAAAGTCCAGGCAGTGGAAGGTGCTGTGCTGCGGTCTCTAAGTCCGTGTGCAGTGTCTGGGGACATGTCTGTGGCCAGTGGGGGCCTCCAGGCCTGGGGGACCCTGGTGCTGCTGGTGAGTGCTCCCCCTACGGGGCAGGGACTCAGGGTCTGGGGCAGGTGGGGCGTGTTGAGGGGGGCGGTCTGTGGTTCCCTGTGAGAGGAAGGAGAGATGGATGATACCTGGTCTAGGGTGGAGGAGCTTGTGGGAGCGACTTAGAGCCACACTCGATCCATCATTTGAATAGAGCGCAAACACGAGCTTTAGGCAAGATATTGGGTTTGCTGGAAAGGCCCAGGATTCCAGACCCAGCTTCCTGGTCATCATACTCCAGGAGTCTAATCCTCCAGTGACTTTGCTCCAATGACGAAGGAACCCAAGGCCCCAGAGTGTCCTCCCTCAGACCCGAGAGTCTTGACGCCCCAGCTCCTTCCTCAATCGAGGAATCCAGGTGCCTGCAGCTCCCTAGTCTCTCCGACCCATGAGCGTGGTTCTCCAGCCTCCTTTTGCCTCAGACCTGGAAGCTCTCACCCCCACCCACCCACCCTCAGGTTCAGAACAGCAGATCTGTGGCCCCCTTTTACCTGACACAGCCTTCCAGGCTCTCCTCCAACAGATGCAGGAATCCAGCCCCTCCTCCCGGCCCCAGTCTCTTTCCCACCTTCCCAGTGTGTGGGGTGCTGCCTGTCCTCGGTCTTCCAGGGCTGTTTATTTCAGGAAGGGGAACTAGCACCTCCATCCTTGGGCCCTATCGGTCACGCTAACCCCAGATGGCAGGTCCCCTGGGCGCCGCCCTCTGCCATGCTCAGAGATGATGACCTTTGTCAGAGCCCAGCCCTGGGGGAGGAGGCAGCATGCCTGGGCCCCTCCTCCCCCTCAGGTAGGGGTGACTCATGGGAGTGGGGAGCTGGGAGAACCACTGACACGCCCCACCCACCACAGCAATCTCACCTGGGTGTGGGAAGCTGAGCTCCTGGGGTGTGACTCCTCCCTCTCTGGACTCTCCCCAGGGCCTGTGCGGATGGACAGGGGCCAGAGCAGCCGGTGAGTGGTCTCTGCGTGCTTCCACTGCCCACAACACAGGCTGGACCTCATGCCTGTGATCCTCTTGGAGGGGGTCACCATGGTGGTCCATTGAAGGGGCCGATGAGAGATGTCATTTCTGGATTGGGGGGAAAGGCCTAGGGACCGTTGAAGGAACCGTCCCTGGTCCCACCCTGCTCACAGAGAACCCTTCTCCCCCATTCGTCAGACTCCAAGCCAGTGGGACACCAGCGTCTGGGGTCCTGACCGTCAGCTCCCCATCACCTGAGCTAAGCTGCCCCTGAGGCTGAGATACATAGAGTTACAGCTCCTGGGTGCAGTGCACTGGAGGCGGGAGTTGGGTTAGTCTGGGTAGACTAGAGAAACAAATTCATAGACACTCCTATGGGTATAGAAAAGAGCTTTCTGTAAAGAGTCATTGTCCATTAAGAAAACATCCCAGCCCAGGCCAGATCAAGTCTATCAGTCGGATATTAGCCCATATGTCCAGTACCAGTCTGTAAAATCCTATCTAGACTCACGCAACACATGCAATGACGCCCAGTGCAGGAAGACCACAGGCAGTGGGTGGAAAGTCTTGTAGAGCCAGTGGTGGTGGACACGTCTCAGTCTCAGTGCTGGCGTGGGTCTCCAGCTCCAAGGCTCTAGGGCATAGCTCCTCCTGGCTTGTCAACAGGAATGTCTCTCGGGGAGTGTGTATGTGTCCCGCCTCCAGAGAGCTATTTTTCTCCTTTGTGTCTCCAAATGAGGTCATCAAGCTGTGACCTGACTGACACCCCTAACCTCCACCCCTTCACTCTAAATAGTCTCAAGTTGACAACAGAGTATGTAACCACCACAGGGGGTGGGGGTGGGGGGAGGACCTTGCATCCTTGCATGCAACCCTATGTGGGCAGAAGCCTCCTGCCACTGAGCATGCTCTGTAGAGTCCAGGGCTCACCAGGTCCCCTTGTAGGAAGTCTGTCCTCACAGCAAGGCTGCGGAGGGAAAGGGAAAGTCACACTAGGAAACCCTGACTCCTGCTCCTTCTGCCAGAACCAGGCCCGGTGCAAAATATCACGATAGTGGATCAAACGAACAGCTCCATCACCTTGACCTGGACAGCACCTCCGGCCTCAAATCAAACCAACTACACCTACTGGGTCCACTGGCAGAGTGGGGACGGCATCAATGGGAGCCAGAGCACCTCCAAGACCAGTATCACCGTGAATGGTTTGAAGGCTGGGACTTTGTACAACTTCATGGTGTGGGTCCAGGCGAATGGTTCATACAGTCAGAGTGCATCGAAAGACGCATCGACAGGTGAAACCTCCTTAAAGCACGTCTGGGGTGGGTGAAGGAGCCCTGGTGCTGTAGTGGTGAGGTGTTGGGCTGCTTATCCTAAGGTCAGCAGTTCAAAGCCATCCGTAGGTCTGCGTGAGGAAGACAGTTTTCTACTCCCAGGACCATTTACAGTCTGAGCAACCCAGAGGGGGTCGCTGTGAGTCAGCATGGACTGGATGGCAGGGAGTTTGTTGTTTCAGTTGGATGGGAGAAGGGGCTCATTGGAGACTTGGGATTGTCCTGGAATTACAGACAAACCCCAAGCATCTCAGAACCAGTGAAGCTCAGAGTCTGGGGTCCCATTGATAGGAGTGTTTCTCTTTATGTCTCAGGACGCTGTAGAGGGGAGAGTATTGCCCGTTTATATGAGATGCTTGGGGATGTGGAATTGATTTTCTTCTCCTTCTGCCAGCCCCCAACCCAGTGAAAGGCCTCAATATGCATCATCGGACCAACAGCACCATCACCTTGACCTGGACACAGCCGGGGGCTCAAGACCCACAGGACTACACCTACTGGGTGCAGTGGGCTAGTGAGAACAACATAAATGGAATTATGGGCACCTCAGATACCAATATCACCCTGGAAGGCCTGCAGGCTGGGACTCTGTACAACTTCA